AACCCCACAAAAACGTGACGCCTGACACTGCAGTAATGACACCTTTTAGAGAAACGAGAGAGTCTGCTTCAGAACTGACCTAGGGGGTATCTGTTGACCACCGACCTCCGATCTCATAATTGTCATTAGCAGGCCCCACTTCAGGCAAATGTGAGGTCGGTCATAAAATTCAGCTCGGCATTGTATCGTCGTAATCTCACAAGACATTATGATTACCTCCTGTCACATCACCCTCTCAATCACACACTTGTAGAGGGTGATGTCACCACTGCCCATGACCACCAATCCAAGGCCTCGAACATTCAAATCACTTGCAGGTCATCATCACCTGCGAAAAACATTAGCACGAGGCAACCGGCCTTGTCAAGCAATCACTGGAGAATTTGGTGACCCGACTTTCGAGCTTGGTCTTGTAACTGATAGATTGGTTTGATGTAATTTCGGCTTGAATCATGTATAAATAGTAGGGAAATGGTTCTCTTGAAGGGGGAAAAAAGAGAGAAAAAAAACTTTCAAGCAAAGGCATTACGCAATTTAATTTTTTACAAGTACCATTTGCCCTTGGCCCTTTTTTAGGATAGAGGAATGTTGCCCTTTTTCTTAAAGTTGATCTGAGATTAATCTCTACAAATTTTGACGTCAACAACGTTATTAGAATTTCTAACACAGACTAATTTTACTACAATTCTCATTGGATATAGAAGTTCAAATTTTTTTTTTAAACCTTTATTTAATCTTCAACTTTATTTTTAAGAATATAGTAAACATGTTTATTCTTCAAAATTGAAAACAAGATACTTAATTGATACTCATGTTAACAAATAAACCAAATATATTTAAGGAATTACTTTACTAAACATATTATGTCAGTGTATTTAAAATTCTTATGTGAACTTCCTTGAATTCAAATGAATTTTAATTTTTTTTTTATTAATTCTCTATGAAAGCAATAGACTCTAAAAGACGACTCCCACAATAATAAAAATGAATCCATACATAACCTACATTCTAATGTTTAGATTTTTATTAAATTTGTACTTTGAAACCTGAAACTGAAGTTTTAAATAATAAAAAATAGGATTTAAAGTTGGGAAACTTTTTATAAGTTACAAATTTCAATAGAATAAGATTACTATTAATCACGAGAGTTACTCTTGGCTATAAATAAAATTATGCTGATTAATTATGAAATTAAACTTCTGGTAATCCAATATTAAACGAACCAACTCCTAAATTTACTCCTATGTGGTTTAAAGTTACATTGTCAATGACCTTAGAGACTCAGTTGCAGTCTCGGTCAATGCAAATTGTTTTCAATTAGAACTTCTTGTATTAGTGGGATTAATGCCAACAACATAACCATATATCTGGTGCCATGGGATTACCCTTCTTCTATTCTAAACTTTAATTTCAATGCATTCCAAGATAGCAATAGGACTCATATTTTGTAGCTTCTTTGCCCTTCAATCCATTACCAATTGAAAACCATTTTAGACCTAATAAATTACATATCATATGTCATATTTCAATTTAAGAGTCAGTTTGGGAGTGATTTTGAGAATTGATTTTTTGACCGTTAGGAGAAAAGTAGGGTCCATCTGTAAGAGAAGAAGTCAAATATGACGGCTGAAATAGTGAAATAACGATCAAAAAATCAATTTTTTGGGTGAAAAAATGGGGCCCAAACAGGCCCTAAATAATAATCACATCCCGTAACTCAAAATTGATTTGGCCAGCCTTTTTTCCTCCTAAATAAGTTTTAGTTCTTCAAATTAATATTACCAAAAGGAATGTTAATGAAAGTCTTAACGTTTGGTTCATATTCCCTATCTATTTAATTTGCTGGGCATAAATTTCAGATATTTCAATTTACAATAGAAATTAGCAACAATCAAATAAACCCATTAAAGAAAAGTAAAATAAGTTATAAGTATATAAAAGCAAATAAGGGAATAATTCTAATTATAATTAAATATAATTAGCACTAAATCATTTTTTTTTTCTAGATAATATAGATTAGAATCTGTCCCTGTCACCTTTATTGTTAATGTCATGGGAAAATTCTTTCTTTAAGCATTGACCATTCTCAATTATTAAAGAAGCTAGTTCACACGAATGTAATTCATAAACCTTTGGAGAGCATGTGATATTCATTATTATTCAAATAATAAGTCTAATAATTTAGCAAACATATATCAGTCACATGCATCAAAATAAGAAGATGCCTTTTAAGTTTGTTGATTACACCATATTTAATCTACAAACAAATCATCCCCACAACTTTAGATTGTTGGAAAAATTGAATGATTTGTGTTTAGATACTTACCAATTAACATAATCAATTTATATATCACAATAAAATAATTCAACAATAAGATGAATATACGAGAAGAAGAGTTAGAAATGCAAGCTTTAGGAGTCACGTCGAATACGCTCTCCTAAAGTCGTGTTAAATTTCCTTCGTGTGGGTTCTTTTGACACTATATGGCTTCAAGATAAAACTCATGTGACTCTTCTTCCATGGGTACGACCATAGGGAGATAAGTGAACAAATCTCTCATTGATTTGCCAAATTAGTATGAATTTAGTATAAAATTGTATAGAGGACAATACTTCAAGTTGTTGTAAGATATGTACAACAATGAAATACAATCACATTTTATAAGTAAAATGTCAATCCCCACATTTATATCATTTAAACATAAGTTGTAATATGTATTATGATCTTTTAATTTTATGTTAAGATTAAAAATTAAAAGATTTTTAATTTGAAATGTTAAAATTTTTATTCTTAAGTTACAACCTAAATTATGAGATTTAATTATATATTAAAATTAATATTAAAATAAAAAATTGAAAGTTAATAATTATTGTGAAAGTTTGAAACTTTTAAAGATATTCCAACATGGCTGAGATCATTGCATTGTCTAATGAAAGTTCAAATGCAATTTACATATTAAATGCATAACATTACTCCAAGAACCGTGCTATGCTTACATGGAGAAAATGGCAAATGTTGTACAGGGAGGACACTTGCTATTTTTCATTTGATATTAGAAAGGGGGAAAAAACCACAAAACAAAACCACAATTATACAGGTGTTGTCAGCGCAGGACTTGTATACTGCTTGGCAGTTATTCCCATAATAACTCTTACTCCAAATCATTGATAACAGACAAATAAAATGAGTATAATTTAAAGGGAAAAATTCACAAGTCGGACATTAAGTATGTGGCAATTCAATTTTTAGGTTTTAATTTTCAAAATGCAAAACTCGGGTATGAATTAATTTAAAATATTTTATTAATAAAATATATTAAGGTCATAATTATACAATAGGTCATGGGTGTATACCTATAGGCCACGTCACATATTATTAAATTAATCGATCACATTATTTCATGGTCACAATAAAAATTTTTGATAAGTTATAATTTATTTTATCGATCACAAATCAAAAAATTTATAGGCCATAATTTATTTGTCAATCACAAATTTTCAAATTAGTTGATCACATTATTTTTTAGTTACAAATTATCGAATTTTTAGACCACATTCAAATAGTTGGTAAATAGTGGTCACGGATTAACGAAATAATTGATCACAGATTAACCAAATAGTTGGTCACATATCGCTACCAACATAACCACTTGCGACCATCGCCGTCGCCACTACCATCACATGAAAACCACCACGACCCTAAAAACCAGCAAACCAAAAACACTACCAAATTCAGCAAACTACCATTAAAATCATTCTCCAGCCGTAGCACTTAGGGCTCATCATTGGCGACGGTGCAATCTCTACATCAGCGGTACAGATCGAAGAGAAGTCGTAGCCAGACACGATCTAAGATTAACGATGGCTACAATTGAGATGGAAAGTACAGATATGAAAGAAGTTGTAGTCGTCATGACTTTAGCCTAACCGAGCCATCAGTAGTCATGACTCCATGGTGAACGATCGTTGTTGTGAGTTTGGCGATGGTCCCTGATAGTGGGTGCGACGGCGTTGGAAGTGTGGGTTAGGCGGAGAGCGTGAGAAAATAGAAGATGAAGAAAAATGAATTTGAATTTTAGGGTTTGAAATTGGATTTAGATGGGATGGGGCTAAATATATTTTATATTAATATTAATAGTTGAATTAATACTATTAAATAAAATTATTACCTGATTTTTGAATTATGATATTGAAAAGCCTAATATAGTGTAATTTTCACTAATCTAAAATGCTAACCCAATTAGCCCGGCTCAACTCTTTGACCATAAAGAGAGCTCGTGCTCTGCCCATCGACTTATTTCTTCTTTCCTTTTTATATTTTGAGAACTGATTTTTAGAAAATAAAAAACAATATGACTCAGACTGATTGACATGGCGGGGCAAGCAAGCCTGCATGGCCAAGATTGAGCTTGGGGCCCAATACGCCGATGAGCCTTATTCTCGTGAGGCAATCTTGCCAAATCGCAGACCCATTATCATCTCCGCATCTCAATTTTAAGACAATAAATCTTCTTGGACAGCTTCAGCCCTGTCCGTCCAGCTTTGTTCACTTCAAGATTCAACAGTTCTTTTTTTTTTTTTTCCTGTTAACATAACAATTGTCTATATTATCATTAATTTGTTCATGTTATATATTTTTTTTCTATAATAATAGCTGTCAGACGTGAGAAAATTGATAAAAGCATTTGTCCATAGAATTGTTATTAACATCGATAAATAATTTAAATTGAAAAAAGAGAAACGTGTTGCACAAAACTCACAGTTGTACATGTCCTGCCTGCAAGGATATATATTTTGATAGCACTCATAGCAGTACAATGAAACAATTTTAAAAAGGAAAGTGATCACTTTCACCTCCAGCCCGCCGGCCACCCTGTGACAAAACATTAAAAACCTCCAGCCCGACACTGCCCCCCACCACACCCGAAAAGGAATGCAGCTGCATCATACAAACAGCTATCACCATAACATAACTATAGCAATATTATATGAACAGCTACTACTCAAATCAGTAAACCAATCTACTCATAAACTTTCATGAATGTGAACTGATACATAATATCATACCAATAGAGAAGCCCCACCAGTTTAGTCCAAATCACAACATGATCATACAAGTCTACATACGAGTCTTTATCCTTTCAAATAGAGATTGTTAAAATCCAATATCATGTCTTACATAGAACATTTTGCATAATTTCATTGACTGCATCGAGGGAATATGACCTTTATCTGTCACTTCTTGACCTTCGGCCATAAGGTGAAGGCCTAGGAGAGTAATCGCGTTCACCTCTATAAGGGAGGCGCCTAGGAGAGTAATCGCGTTCACCTCTATAAGGGAGGCGCCTAGGAGAGTAATCACGTTCATCTCTGTAGGTGGAGCGCCTAGGAGAGTAATCGTGTTCACCTCTGTAGGGGGAGCGCATAGGAGACCTCCGATACCCATAGTCATCACGGCTAGAAACTCTTCGATACCCACCAGAGTTACCACGATACCCTTTCACCCAAGCAATGAATTAGTTTCTTGTTATTCGACATATTGCTTTCAAATGACTGCAGCAAAAAAAAAATTTTAAAAATAATAATAATAATAAAAATTCACCGACAGGAACTCACCATCACCCCTACTGTTCTTGAGCCCAAGATAGTGACCCGGTGTAGGAGTCCTTGCGCGTTTCCTCCTGGACTGAAATAAAAATTATCCTAATGAATGTAATCTGGAAAAAAGGAAGTTCTAGCATATATTACTACAAGCACATACGAACTCAAGATAATGCTTTCAGTAGGAAAGCACGTATCCAAGAATCTTATAGGACGCAGACGCAGAAACCAGAAGGCAAAAATACATCTATTTATGTCCTTTGGGTGCTAAGGAGTGAAACTCATTTTGCAGCAAGTTAATTGATAAACAGTAGCATCGATTCCATTTTGGTTTGAAGAAATAAACGAAACAAGCTAAAAGATAAAACTAATGCTAAGTGCGAGATACCATAGAAGTCTGAATAGAATGTTGTCTATGAAAGTATTTGCTGATGTTGTATTTGTTGGGCAATATAATTGCTATTTAGTTGATCAGAAGCAAATGAAAAGCTGTTTTAGCTGGCCATTATCTGATCCGTTTGATTAAATTGTTGCAATGGATGGACTCATCATCTTTGATTGCTGCCAACATAGCTGATGTAATTTCTTCTGAATATAACCAGAAAACCTCCAGGTCAAGAAGACAGATATTCAATCAAATTGGTAGTGCGAGTTACAATCAAATTGGTAGTGCGAGTTATAGTCAATAGGCAGCTTACCTTCTCCACAGTAATGTATCGTCCTTCAAGAACTGATTGATTAAGGTGCTTGACACATCGATTTGCATCCTCAGCAGAATCCATTGTTATAAAAGCAAAACCACGAGAGACTCGAGAACGAGGTTCCACAACCAAAAATACAGATTTCACCTGGAAAATAGAGGAAACAAAAGGGTATTATCATGAGAAGAATTAAAAATTCATCCTGACAAGGTTGAATAGGAGGATTCAAAGGCTCGAGATACCAGACAGAATTCCATTTTATGGTACAGATCACATGTCACTTATCTACTATAACAAAACATGTCAACAGAAACCACCCCAACGACTCGTTTTGTCAAGAAAACTTTCCACCAAAAACACATTTATTAGAAATTATTAAGGAATGAACCTTTCCTTCCTTTGAGAAATGATCTTCAAGGTCTCTTTCAGTGACCCTCATAGATAGGCCAGTAACGTACAGTGTGTCCCCAGGATTAATAGCATCACTCCTGCAAGATAAAACAAAGGAAAGAATGAGCATAAACAAAAAAAAATACAAGCCATCTCTAGTCACAAGGTTATCAATTCTGGACCTAAACTATAACAGCACTCATTATTGCAATAATGCCATCTCAAGAAAACAAGAAACAAAATTATGATTACCTGCCACGATTCCGTGACCTCGATCTCGATCTTGACCTCGACCTGTCACTAGGCCTCGACCATGATCTAGATGGGGATCTAGATTCTGACCTTGACCTCGATCTCAACTTTCCATCCCGAGGAGAAGGAGACAGAGCATACCTGATATATATAATCAATAAGAGTGTGTTTGATTACATTTATTTTCCATGAAAAATATCAGTTTTCCATCCAAATTTCTACTTGAAGTGTTTGATTGCTATTTTTTTCCATGGAAAATATTTTCCAACTTTTGAAAATATGCCTAATTTTCCTTATTTTTAAGGAAAACATTTTCCTTGGGTTGAGGTGGTTTTTATTTTTCACAAAAGATGGAAAACATTTTTTTTTCTAGGTGATATTTTCCATGTCAATCAAACATACTCTAAGTGAAATGTGAGAGAAGGTTTAAATGCTCATAAACTTCAACAAGGTGAAAACTTCAATCCAATTGCTCTAAAATTTCAAAATTGATTGTTTGTATGAATAGAAACTATATTCAGTAGGATACAGTGCAGGGGGAAAGAAGAATTAGTTTGAAATGTCACACCATCATCTCAGAAAGATACTATCCATGGCCTTGAAGCGTGTTTGGGTGAGCTTATAAGGTGGTCAAACAAGCTTATAAGCACCAAGACACCCAAAAATGTTTGACATGTAGAAAATTAATTTGCATGGAATAACATATTATCTACAGGTTGAAGCTTCAGGTGCAAATGCCTCAAAGTCGAGTATATCAGTAATTAGGCATGATAAAAAAAACTGTAATATATAGCAGTTGGCATTTGTCAATGCTTTCATTCAAATATTGGAAATAGGAAAATGATAAGCATAGAAGCACACCAGAAAGAAAATAAGTTTAGAAGAGAAATTATGCATCACCCTTTAGTTTTTGGAAAATTGGCCAATCTAGAGGAATAATGAAAGGCCGACGATTTCATCTCAGAGATGCAAACGCCTATAACTACACCAAAAATGTCTTATTTATATAGAGCAATCATATATTGGTTGTGCTACATGTCCATAATGATTTACATATATATGATGCGGTCAACTATGATTGGGTCAAAATTTCTTCAAATAATATAAAAAATAAAAATAAACTCTTCACTCTCTTTTTGACACCTCGTCCATACGTGAATCATTACGTACAAGTAGCATTATTCATCATATATCTTCACCCAAAAGGGAATATCAAAAGTTAAATTCAATATCCAGGAAAGATTCAGGTCATGATGGCACCCCATACTTAAAATGAAGTGACAATTAGAAAATTCAACTTGAAACACAACCCATAATCCAATCCATTTGCATCAATCAAATAAATCCTTGTATAACGAATAAGATCGGCAGCATTATACCTGGATCATAAGCTGACATATTCAAGAAATCCACCCCACCGCCACCCCCACCTGGGACTTAT